TCTGATTTGTCATAAAATAAATTTTCCATTATGGCAAAGTGGCTGAAGGTGGAAGGGTGCATTTTAATTAGATTTTTTGGTAAAAAGCAAAGTCCACTTACTTTTTGACTAGCCAATTAGATCAAGGTAATTTTAATAAAATGCGTTAGAATCATAGCTCTTATTTCTTGTTGACCTGCTTCCATTACAGCTTGCATGGCTTTTGTCCGGATTTGGTTTTAGTCCACATTGATTGTTAAGCAGCTTTTATTTTAGCTTGACGGGCTTTCCTGGATTAATAATTGTTTCATATTCTTGATGCGGATCTGCTCAGTACTAGCATTAACTTTCACTAATTGTCTACTTAAACAGACCCCACACCTGACACCATCGTAAATTTAATTGCGTGCTTATTTATATCATTCTTATAGGCCCAAAGCAGGGCCCAAAGAAACCCACCATGGAGGAATTAACGTATTTATGGAGACTTCTCTTTATTTCCGGAAGCAATATTCGAACCACCTGTTTATTAAGTTGTCCGTCATAATTCGTGATGTCAGTCTAACCGACTGTCCCCGATTATGGGAAAACGGCCTTACTTTTTTCAAATTTGTTTTCGCTATTTATTAGCGCCTCCTGTTTTGAGAGCGATCACATGATTTTCGCGAGGTCAAAGGCTCGGACAAAAGCTCAAGTCAAAAATTCCGAGAAGCAATTAGGTATAGTAGGGGAAGTCTTTTTCTGGAGATTTCAAATGCCTATTTCTATTATTGCAAGGGATGATCTAGAAAAAAAGACATACATCGGTATATAAATACGCAAATTTCAATGAGAAAACGTATTAAAGCGATGTACCAAGGTACAATAATGACGCAAAATCTCCGTCGATGAGGTCAAAATTCGGGTATATTATGGAAACAATGTGTTAGAAGGGGGTACCCTCCAAGCAAGAAAGAAGATCTGGAAAAGACGTATCTGTCGGTTGGATTCAAACTTCCGATTGTAATATTTCGAAAATGGAGTGTCTGAGCAGGTACTCTGAAACAAAAGACAGCAGTTATCTTAGAGGAGGTTCCTGAATCTGGCGTTTACTACCCAAGGATGAGTAAATGATTTAATTAATATAGCTGTGGAATACCGCCAAAATTCAAATTATATTAGCATTTCCAAAACAGTGAGCGTGAGGGTATCCAACATGGTAAATTCCGAATAAATGGTGGTGAGTAGCAGTTAAAGTATAGAGTTTCTTACATTGACCTCACTTAAAGCGTTATCTGCTTGACCTTCAATGACGTAATTGCGTATTATCTCCGCTTCTACTTGCCAGTTATTCAATTGCGTACCTATTTACAAACAACACTTTGTTTTATTGGAATGGTGACTGAATGTATGTCTATATAAATCAAAGAAAAATGTATCACATCATAATACTATCACTCATGATTATAACATTATACGAGCTTCATGATACTGTCTGTAATACTGCATATTTTAGCGCCAAAAATAGATTGGCGTTAATTAAAAATCACAGTTATGACCGCGAGATTCCGTACTAGCTTCAAGCTTTCTCTGGAGCATTCAGTTTTTCTTCGGCCTCGCTGCTGTCCTTTAGAGAGGGAAGGCCGTTTAACATTATTTGAATTTCTTTTAATGTCTTTCCCTTGGTTTCCGGTATAAAAAATACAGTGAAGATTGTTGTGCAAACACAGCACGCGCTAAAAAGAAAGAATGGTACGTGATGCCCAAAGTTTTCTTTCAGAACTTGATATACGTATATGGACAAGATTGACGAAACGATGTATATACCGTCTGCAGTTGTCATTCCAAGAGCTTTTAAATCTGTGGGGAAAAGTTCTCCCGTTGTCACAATGGGTACAATACCCAATCCAAATTTAAAACAAATCGCAAAAGACATCACGAAGAAAGTAGGTACCCAACTATACGATGTGAGATCGACGTTAGACTCCTTCAAGGTCATGTAGATTGCAAAAACCAGCACTGATACACCAGTTGTAATGCTCGAAGCGCCGAGAAGAATTTTTCTTCCAGCTTTGTCAACTATAAACGAAGATAACAATGCTGAAACTAACATGAGAACTGAGTACCAAATAGCGATGTTGTTAACACTTAGCGAACCACTGGCATCTTCTAATATGGAATGAATGTTCATGAGTATAACGCTGTATCCACTAAAATGCTGCGCTAAATTGAGCACCGTCATAATCAGTAGAGCCTTTCGGCTGTTCTTCTTCATCACCAAATCGCCGCAACCGCGTCCCTGGGACAGCTGCATTTTAACCGTAGCGGTTATTTCCTCCATTTCTTCCTGCACGTCGTCCGTCGATCTCAGCCTTTGTAACGATTTCCGAGCTGCCGCCGGATTTTTCTTCATAACGTGATAGTACGGTGATTCGGGCATAAATGGGAAGGTAAGCAGTTCTACAACCAAAAACGCACAACCAACTGCCGAAGAGACCGCAAGTGTGACAAAAGGACCAACGGAGTAGATTATTACAATTCCAACTAACATCATTAGATAGATCCACGATCCCAAAAATCCTCGTATCTTTTTATCGGCAATCTCCGCTACGTACATCGGTGCCGCTACGAATCCGACATCTCCTGCTAATCCGCTCAGAAAACGCGCCACGTACACGTACTCAATCGACGGCCCAACACCGATTAGTATCCACGAGACCACACTTTGAACAGCTCCTACTATGATTGAGGTTTTACGTCCAAAACGGTCTATAGTCAACACGGTGAAGGGAATTCCCGCAAACCCTCCAATCATGTAAACGTTTTCTAGCCATAGTACGTCCGTGTGGGTAACTTGAAGTGTAGAGTTGGAATGTTGAAGGAGTGGAATAATTGGAGCGGTCCAGGCGTAGTGCATTCCATCGGATACAGCACTCAGTGTTGCTGAAAGGAAAAACAAAGTTAGTACAGGTAGCGACAGTCGTTTTTTTTTAAATAATGCGGGTCGGTATGTTGCCTTGAACAATTAATTAAGGCTTTTTGGATCTTATTAAGAGATTTAAGAGATTTATCTTGCGCATAATTGAGCAATTGAATAGCTAAGAATTACTTAGAAGCTTATAAAGGAATAAAACTCGCGTGCTATCGAAAGGTAATCAACACAAAAATGATCTTTTTGAAGGCGAACCTTACACTTAATACGAGCTCTGATTTCCTTTTAATAACAAGGAATGATTACTCTTCAGTTACGTATGGGATCGGAGGCGGAGTTCGGAGGTAAGAGAGAGAAGGGTATGGGAGACGAATACCAGTAGGTGTTTGTGCGCGATGTTTGAGGGATTGGGGGGCAGATCTGGGTCGAGCATTCTAAAAAACCGCTCGAGCGAAGAGCGCTCTAAGTATCTCAAAAATGCTCGCGAGAGTTCCGAGCACTCCTAAAAGCGCTCCAGTTGTTTATCACGAGCGCTTGGGAAAAGTGCTCGTGAGCGGAAAAAATGCTCAACAGCGTAAATAGCACTCGGAAGCGGAGAAAACGGTGTAATGGAATAAGATACACCATGACAATTAATTATTAATTAACTGATTAAGTCATGCGCAAATCAATATTTAATATTCTTATTCCATTACAACGCTCGCAAGCGGCGCTTATCTTTCAGCGCTTGAGGGCGGTTAAAAGTGCTCACGAGCGAAAAACTAACGCTCAGGAGCGGACAAAACCCTCGCAAGCGGCGCTCAATCCTTCGGAGCTTGGGGG